TTCATTTGCTAAACTACTTGTGTAACAAGTGACACAAACAAATAATACATGTCAGATTTTGCTACAAAAAACATTGACATGCTGAAAAGATCTAGAAATTTTATATTAATGTTGTCTAAGAATTTTTTAAATGAATTTCTACAAAAGGAGGCCTGGTAGTTTTAAAGAAGCTGAACCAGTTAGATGTGTGATTTCTGATTTTTTTTTTAAATTATGTTTTCCTGTTATATTTCTTCTGAAAAGGACAGTAGCTATAGGCTTGTAATACACTAACTTGAACTTTCCTATGTTTTCCAACCTTGTCTGATTTGACCTAATTAGCATGGACATCTGAGCAGTTTTGCCTGAGGTTTCCATAACTTTTCCATAAGGAATCGGTGAATGGAGAAAAGGAGAGCACTGAGGCTTTTCTGCACTATTTTCCCTACGTTTCCGCCCCGCCTCCATGTTCTGTCTTGGTGATACAGCTGTACCCAAACTGAACAGGGAACAACTGCTTGTGCAGTCCCTGCCAAAGATGCTGCTTGGCCCCAGTTTGCGCCGCAGCTGCTTCCTGCCCTTCCCACTCCTCTCCCTCTGTCTCTTCCTTAGTGCTGCCAGCTGCTCTCTTTTCAAATGTTCAGGTTTTCTTAGTACAACACAGCTAGACTTTTTCTATGAGCTAGGTGAAACTGGTGATCTTCTCACTGTGTATGCTCATCTGATCTTGTGGTCAGCAACACCACTGTGTAATTACCCACGGAGACTCATCGGGCTCTGTGTTAGGACAGTTAGGTTCATACTTGAGTCATTTCCAAAATCTCCCTGCTCATAGGGCTACAAACTTCGTGTTTCCAGAAGGCAAATTTCTTGTCTCCTTCAATTAACAGGCCCATTTATTTTCTGAGGGAGGCTAACTGCTCTTCTTTGCACAGATCATGATGTGATTTTTGTTCATCTTGTGGATGCGTAACCAAAATCACACACAGGATACTTGGCAAAACTTCATCTGTATCTTGATTTCTCCTCGACTTTGCCTTCTACTTCAGTAGCACTGCTCATAAAGATTGTGGGACTTACTGTTATAATACCTCTCATGCGAACAGTGCCCAGTTGTGGTTATAGTGGGTTTGGTTTTGTTCCATATCACTGAAATGTTATCCTCCCCTATGTCAGTGGAAGAATGAGGACGATCTCTTCTTTCTGGGGCACTGTCTCCCAAGGCACCTGACAGGGCAGAGAGGCCATGTACTCCAGCGTCTAGGTCATCTTGTTGGCCAGGATTTCTGGGGTTTAATGTCATGGCAGGAGAAAACAGAGCAATATTCATTCATGTCCTGCCACTTTCTAATTTTTTCTATTTCTTTTTGCTTCAGAATTATTTTTGAGGTATTTTACTTCTGCTGAACATAAGCCCTTTGTGTTACTTGAGGAATTTTGATTTTGTTTTAGATTTAGCTAGACTGTCCAAGCCGAACTAGCTTGACTTTAGTATGTTACTGTTATCTGAATTGCGGTGGATATAAAACATTGTGCTTGCGCTTTGACCTCCCATCTCGGCTTGCTTTTCTAAGTTTGATAGTGAGGAATAGCTAGGAGGGGATCCTCAGTACCTTGCCTGAGGACTGAGGATACCAACTCTGGGATCCAGAACACAGCTGCACTCTGAGAACAGCAGACATCATCAATATTTCTAAATATTTAACTTGAACAAGAAAGTTGCTGTCAGCAAACAATGGTGAGCTATAAACAGTGTGTGGTTTGGTTTTTTATTCAGACAGTTATTCCTTCATGGAAAGTATCAAGCAGCTGTCTACAAGGAATAATAGATAATGTTGTGAATGAGGCACTTCCTTTAGTTTCCTTAGACTCAGTCACTTTCTGTGATGGTCACTTATGCTCCTAGTGTCGTCAAAATACTAGACTGTGCCAAGGCTGTAGCGCTTAATTGTCAAGATGAAAAGGGAGCATGTTACTGAGGTTTTGACAGTATTTTGCTGTAGAGAGGTACGACTGCGTGCATAAGTCTGCAGCATTCACTGATAAACTAACCTCCAGTAGTTATTGTTGCATTACTGTTGATTTGTGGAGCAAATCTATTAACAGCTCTTCTCTCGTGAGTTTGAAGATTCTTAGTAGATAATTAACAAAGCGTCATGCATGCTAAACTAAATGCTAGTTAATCCTCTTAGCTAATGGTTCTTAAACTAGTGAACTTCTATATAATTAAAGATGTGAAAATACAACTTTTTGCTCCCTTCATACGGTTTGGTATTGAAATATCCTGATCTTCATGGCTTCTGCATGGCCTTCAGTTTTCTAGAGTTTAGTATCTTGATTCAGGCTCTACTAAAAGTCATTTCTGTTCTTTTTAAAATCTAAGAAGAGGAAGGGCCTACAGCTAAGCATTCAGATCAGCCCAAACTAGTATTTTCTGCAAATGAAACATCTGTTCCCTCCTGTCTAGGTTGTGATAGATTGCATCACACACTTCAATATGTTATATTAATACTGTGTTTTATATCTGTAATATTCTCTTTTTGTTTAACTCTAGTAGTACACCGTGTTGATAAGACTGGCCCTTTACAGATGTAAAGTATGGTAGTGGCTCTTGGCTTACCTTAAACCTTTGATTGTGAAAATCCTGTGATTTTTCAAATAGATGATGAAATTCCTAACAGTGTTATTTCTCTGGAAATAGCTGAGTAGTATTAACAGCCAACTGGATGTACACAGTGACCTGGCCCTCCTTCCAAGGTAGCTTTACAGCTGTCTCATGGCTACAGCTGGTACTTTCCATAGTAGATAATGATATGTAGGAAGACTCAGACTGTGAGATGCTGTAATTAATACAAGTGGAGGATTTGTGGATAGATACCTAAAAAGATTTTGGTCATTGAGATGTATCACAGAAACAAGATGGTCCTGAATTGGTGATGTACTTTTGGGGAACAATAAAAATACTATCTAATACATTGTTATCTGTCATGAAGTCTCATCAAAATGAAACTGAAGTGCATCACACCATTGCTATCTGAATATTTCTGTAAGATTATATTAAACATGTTAATTTATAACATGTCACAGAAACTTCTTTTTACCTGAGGAGGAGTGACTGGCTTGTCTTCATGTTCCCATATCTGACTTGATGTTGGCCTACTGGGAGCTTGTCCATGTGATTCTCTCATCTATGGCTATGGGCCTGAGTAATGGCCTTAGTCTCCTTTGATGTGATTTATAGTTTCTTCCACTGAAATATCAGGTGTGTACTTAGTATGTACTAAATATATAAATCCAGATATGTGCTCACCTTTTTTTTGCTTTCAGCTGAGAGCTCAAAGCATCTTCAAGAACTTTGTTTGATATAAGCATCAGAAATGGATGAAAAGCATTGCTTAAAATCAGTTATGTTTGGCTTTTGAGTTAGTGCTCAGGTTATTTAATACATAAAAAAGTCATCCCAACATCACTGATTTATCTTAAGACTCTGTTGGTGTTTAAAATGGCATACCCAAAATAACTAAAACACCCATCAGCGTCTTTTGCACACAGAATAGTTTTGGAAAGTATATATGCAGTTGCAGTTACAGCATGAGGATAAATGTAGCATATATGCCAGATGGAAAAAACCTCCATATGAGTTGGGAGCTGCAAACGATGATTTAGTAGTCAGTGGCAGTTCTGTCTAAAAGCTGCATTTCTACTTGCCTACAGAAATACTGCTCGGTGTGAGTAGGTAGGGAGCAGTGAAGTGAGAGTGTCAGTTAAAGACTAAAATAAGCAAGAGTTCCCCAGAAGTGCAGGCTAAATACGCTCTATCTTACCTCCAAATGAAGAACACCTGATGCTTTTCAAAACTCTGGTACAGCGTTTCAACTTGTCTGTGTTGACTTTTGTAACTTCAGCAGGTTGCCTCTGAAGCTCTGAGTCAGCTTCATATCCAAATGGTAAGAATGGCTTCTTTGAGGGCATCTCAAACAAAGCAAAAGGCATGAGTACGGGTAGTGGAGGAGAGAGTCGTATCATAGAATGGTTTGGGTTAGAGGAGACCTTAATGATCATCTAGTCCCAACCCGCCAGCTATGGACAAGGACACCTCCCACTAGGCTGGGTTGTTCAAAGCCACATCCAACTTGGGCTTGAACAGTTCCAGGGATGAGGCATCCACAACTTCCCTGGGAACCTGTTCCAGTGTCTCACCACCCTCATAGGAAAGAACTTTTTCTTAATGTCTAACCTAAATCTACGCTGTTTGTCTTTAAAACCATTGCCCCTTGTCCTATCGCCACATGCCCCTATTAAAAGTCCCTCCCCAGCTTTCCTGTAGCCCATTCAAGTAGTGGAAGTTCTGTACTTTTGCAGAACACTCATTTTCATGCTTTAAATATCAGTCTGTTGGATTAATCAGGTTGCTAGATAAAAGGAAATTGTCATTGTCATGCTTTAAATATCAGTCTGTTGGATTAATCAGGTTGCTAGATAAAAGGAAGTAATTTTCTTTACAAGATTTTTCTGTAAGTGCAGCTTCATGTTCTCTAGTTCTGTAGAAGCTTTTTATATTTTGCCTATATTTGCATAAATGCACAAAACATTTCAGGATTGCTTTAGCTTTTGGACAGACCTGGGAAAGCTGAGTAGTAAGTAGGTATAAGATACCCAGTGGGGTCAGATCGATTATCTGTCTGTGGCAGCAGTGAGGAGAGGTGCTATTTAGGGCCAAAGCAACACAGCTGTCTGTGTGCCATGTCCCTTCTGTTCCTCTGCTACCCACAGCAGTGAGATCAGGAATCTGGAAGGTACACACTTGCCTTTTCTTTTTCTTACCTTTGTGTGCAACAAGTTCACAAACAACAGCTTTCCTAAAGGTACCTGCACAGAATTCTTGACTGTGGTCTTTTTTCTCCCTTTTCCTCTGACCTTCCCCAGTTAAGATTATAGGCATTTATAACATGTAATCAAAGTGTTAGATACGAGCAGTAGTTAATGTCTCATCTGCTTTTTGTTGGTGGTTTTTTTTAAATAGGAAGATGAACACAACTTAAGTGCATTTTAGGATTTGACTCCTGACGGGCTGGATTTTGTCTTGGTAGGAGTTTTTGAAGATCCACGCAGTGGAAAAAGAAGCAGCCAATGGCTTCAGAATCCATGGTTCCAGAGCAGGCAAAACAACAGCTGATAAAGGGAAAAAGGCAACAGCAACCGCAGCAGCAGCAGCAAAATAGATCTCCCAGCAGTGACGGTGAAGATGACATTTTTGTCTTTGAAGCAAATGAAGCCTGGAAAGATTTTCATAGCTCCCTTCTTCACTTCTTCGAAGCTGGAGAGCTCTGTGATGTTACACTGAAGGTGATATTGTTACATGTCCATTTCATTTAACAGTATGAAGATTAAGTGACAAATTAATTATTGTGCTGTGAATTTAGGCAGGGGTATGGAAGCTGTAGAATACCTGTTGGATTTGAGGCATCTCTAGATATGCTTGTGGGCTTTTTTTCTTTTTTTAGGAACTATACAACTGAAGTGTAAACACAATATTGACAGTCCGAGAGAGGAAGTACATGACTTTGACCACTTCCCACAGTTGGTCATATATTACTGTGCAATTTCAGGTCCCTGTAGCCTCTTTGTTCTCACACACTTCTATCCCTAATTTTATCTCTGATTTTGCATTCTGTGTCACTCTGCTAGATCTTTCCTGACAAACAGGATTTCTGGAGCAAATCTAACTTCCAGCATTCTCAAAGACAGAAAAAAACCAAACCCACCCCCAGACAATTATGTTCTACAGCTGATCAAAGAGTAAAGGAGGAGGAGGAAACCAGTTTCATTATTCTTGCATAGCATTGCTTTAATGCATTCTTTCTAACTCAGCTGTATATTACTTATATCCTGATCACAATAGATTTGTATTTAGCATCCCTAACAGTGGTTTCCAACACCTACAAATATAAGGCACTACTTAGACCAAGAACAAAAGACAGATGCCTTTAAGAGAAATTATTTGTCTGACACTTTTACCATTGCCAGGTACTGAGAGACATGAGATGTGGCAGCGAATAGATCCAGTGGCTTGTAACAATTGAGTTAATTCTCACAGGACACTGAGCGACAACGCCGAAGCTGCACTGTACAGCACGAGAGCTGTGAAACAGAACTTGCCTGAGAGCTCATCATCATGTCTCTTACAGCTGTCATTTAAAAAGGTTCACATTAGAACTCTTAGCAATCCTCCTCTTCCTTTTTCTTGACTTCATCCTCGCCTTACTCCCTTTCCTCCCACCCTTGAAAAAAAATGAGAAAGTCTTATTTTATATATACAGTCAGATGTATACTGCTGCTAGGGGAACTTGCCTTGGAAAATACACTTTGCTGTGGCTGCAGTTTAACTTTCCCTATGTTAGGCTTGTATTACTGTTAATTTGTATTAAGTGTGTAGAGGTACCTCAGTAGTTTAAGAGTATTAGATGGCATGGCTTGGCATCCAGTCCTCAAGTAGAGAATATAATCTGTGGAGTTGCTGTTATCAGACCAATTATTGATTTCAATATTGGTCTTTTACATATGATTTACCTTTAAAATATGATAAGTTAATAGCTAGAGGGGAACTCTTGATTCTGAAATACCAAGAACATGCTAGATATTTATAAACAAGCGGATTGGGGTAAAATAATGAAGCCACTTAATTCGAAAGAAAGATCTAATTAGGGAGCGGGATGATGGGCAGAATAAAAATCTCTGAAGGTGAGAATGGCGTCAGGCTTTCTGTGATAGAGCAGAGCAGCTGTGTCTTTTTGCATCAGTACTGTGATTACTTGAAGTGCTGACACAGTAACAGTCATAAACCGTGGGAACACACAGGAAGACTGCCTTTGCTCCTAAGAGTTAAAATCTGAAATTTCACCTACTGTACTGCTTCTGTCATAGGAACAGCTCCCTGGTGGAAGGCAGAGAGTGGCAGATGCATACCATCTGCTTCTCTCCTGTTTGTTTGGGTTTTGTTCATTTGGCACCTCTATGAATTGTTCCTTTTGGAGCGATCTAATGAACTCACACTGAGCCATCATCTCTTCCTCTGCTTTCACCTGTGTATCCTCTCTTGTGTGTTTGCTTTCTGTACTCAACTTACTGCTCACCAGGCAGGTTACACTTATGTTGATAATACTTTTTAACAGAGCAAAATAATTGTGTATTGAATCAGAAATAGAAAAAAAAATCCAAATTATCCTTTATCATGTAATCTATGTTTTTTAAATTGCAAGACAGCTCACTAACACCTTCACCTGAAAATGAATGTGTAATTTGAGTCTGTCAGGGGAACTGGTTGCTTAACTCGCACATCCCGTTAGGTCCGTGCAGACTGCAGAATGACAGAGGCTGTAAGGAAGCAATCCTGCTACACATTCATTTGCCGTCAATAGTTGCATTCTCTTTTAATGTAATTGAATTCCAGAATTGTGTAAGTGAAAAGAGTATTTCGCACTTTCTGATCAGAATTGTAAAAAACACCTTGTCTTTATGGGGAATGCTCTTACCTTTTGAGGCTCAGCAACTTCTGAGAATCTTGGAAGTGATAATCCCCATAACAGCTGTTATTGCTGTGGTTTTACCTCAGCAGCGGTAAAAGTCCAGAGGTTTAAATTAAGAAGTCTAAAAATGTCAATTTACAATTTCCCCCCTTTAAAGTCTCTAAATACTCTTAAACCAAACAAGAGCCTAGCAGTTCCCTTCTGCTCCAAGATCTATCTAGAGGGTTCCTAAGGATGTTTCATTTGAAAAAATAGGACCCAGCTCTTAAAACCAAGTTCAGTGCATCAGTGCTATTGCTATCTTGTGTTATAGCCTTGTGCTACTCTGGCAACCAGGTGACAGCTCAGATCTGCTTGGGATGCATTTGATCTAATGTCAAAAGCGCAGGGAGAAGGAAGTTAATTTGTCTCAACAAACCACAGCAGCTCAATGCATATTGAATTCAGAATTCTCTCATAGCTGAAACTGACATTGCAGTAAAACGCTGGGGGTTGTTCTTTTTTTTCAGGTTGGGTCAAAGCTTATCTCCTGCCACAAACTGGTGCTGGCTTGTGTTATACCTTATTTCAGAGCCATGTTTCTTTCCGAAATGGCTGAAGCCAAGCAGACATTGATCGAGATCAGGGACTTTGACGGCGATGCAATAGAAGACCTTGTGAAGTTTGTGTACTCCTCTCGGCTTACTCTGACGGTGGATAACGTCCAGCCGCTCCTGTACGCTGCTTGCATTCTTCAGGTGGAACTGGTAGCAAAGGCGTGCTGTGAGTACATGAAGCTGCACTTCCATCCCTCCAACTGCCTGGCAGTCAGAGCATTTGCAGAGAGTCACAACCGCATTGACTTGATGGACATGGCCGATCAATATGCTTGTGAACATTTTACAGAAGTAGTGGAGTGCGAAGACTTTGTGAGTGTGTCACCACAGCACCTCCATAAACTCCTGTCCTCCAGCGACCTGAATATTGAAAATGAAAAGCAAGTTTACAATGCTGCTATCAAGTGGCTGCTAGCCAACCCACAGCATCATGCCACGTGGCTGGACAAAATACTTGCACAGGTAGGGCACACCGAGGCGCCGGGTGCCTGTCTTGTCACTCGTTTAGATGTACAATCAACTTAGGTAGATCTCAAGATGAAAAATGTCCTTAGCAGTTGGTGCCTCACCTGGTATTCACAGCTGTGAGAAGAGTGCTCACTTTATGGTCAAGGCTGGGGCGTGGGGAGCCAACAGAAAGCTGCATCAGTGTTAGAGCGGGAACTTCCTAGGTTTACACATAGTGGAGAGCAGAACTCCATCACTTCCTTTGTTCCGCTACTACTACAGCCTGAAACGTTCACTTCCCTTGCTGGTAAGTATTTGTACTTGAAAAATGAGAGCAGAGCTGTTGAGGAGGGGTTTTATGTGGCTAGAGAAGTAAAACTGTAACAGAGATGTGTCACACTGAGTTGTGCTACTTCTAGAATATTCTATATAATCAACAAAAGACCAAGATGGGAAGCCTTAGGAGTAGGCTAGGAAGTATATGCTAGACCCTTTCTTTCTCACTAGACTAATGCTTCTGGTTACCTGTAGGATCTGAAAGGAGTTTGCAGTTCAATCGTCTGGACTTGGTGCAAGTCCACTGCTTCTGAAAGAAAAACATACAGGGATCAAAAGATGACTCCGCTGAACTTACTTGAACACTCATCAGACCTCCTTTGTTTAAGCATTAGGTACTTCAGTTATTCAGGCTCCATATGAACTGGTCAGGGGAGCTTAAAACATAGCATTTGAGACAGGTATGGAGAACCTGTGCTGAGGAGGAGAGGGTACATGCTACTTGCTGCAAAGTGCCATGTGTGTCTTAGCAGGCAGGATAAACAGCTGGTTCAGCTGTCCCTGAACTCCAACTTGAATACTTTGCATTTGGCAGAATTGCTAATATTGGTGTAATGTGAATAACAAGAGGTGCACTAATGTGCTGCTATCATTGTCTTCATGCACCATTTTTCACATTTCCTGGTAAAAGACCACAACTGTCTAGTAACTGCCTGCCAAAAATCTTCACTTTCATCTGTAGAATCGTAGAATAATTGAGGGAGGAAAAGACCCTTGGGATCATTGAATCCAACCATTAACCTACTCTACAAAGCTCACCCCTAAACTGTATGCCCCAACACCACATCTAAACAATCCTTAAACACGTCCAGGGATGTTGACTCAACCACCTCCTTGAACAGCCTGTTCCAATGTGTGACTACTCTTTCTGTGAAAAAAAGTTTACTAATGGCCAATCTAAACCTACCATGTTGCAGTTTGAAGTCATTCCCTCTTGTTC